TAAAGGTTTGGGCTTGTTTTTTGTACTTCTTATTTGAAAAGGCCGTTATGCCTAAGCGCTTCTAGCTGTTTCTTAGTCGATAGGTGGTTTCTTCTGGGCATTTCGGAATATGTCATAGTCTGATTACTTTTGTATGAATGTCGCGGCGAAATCACTCCTGTTAAAGTCTAAATGTGGCCTGTACCCGAGCCAAGCTTTGCTTTTTTTCAAGGTTCATCAATGCCGGGCGTTCCTTCTTCGTGCACAATGTCCAAGGGCATGTTCAAAGTCGTGTTGTTTACTTCCTGATGAACATTCATCTTCTGCCGCGAAGCATCTTCTTAACAAGAGTAAGTTGCTTATCAGCGTTATCACTTGCCTTTTCCTGATCTCTGCTTTGGAATATAAATAGAAAATTCTGAGAGTCTAAGCCCTGTTGTGGGCATCTGTCATGATGCTAAGACGATAAAGTATTTTTAGCACGGTCAAAGCGAATATAACGCAATGGGACGTCTTGGCGGTGATTCACCGTTAACTGCTGAAGGTGAAAAGTACGCGGAAGCCTTGGGTAGATTTTTCGAGAAAGCACAAATTTCCGATCTTCGAATTTGGTGTTCTCAAAAGGTGCGCTTATGTTGTGTTTTTCTTTGTTGTGCAAGCAATAACATTAAGTTCCAAAGCATCTTTTCAGACAAAACAGTAATGAAAGAAAGGAAGGAAATAAACTGAATAGTGTACTTATACTAAACAAAATGATATTGTTCCATTAGTGTCTGCTGAAACTTGATGATGTGTATATTTGTGTTGCGAGTTTAGGTTCGCGCTGCTCAAACAGCACAAAAACTGAAATCGGCATTCCACACTGAATATTGGAAAGCGTTGGATGAAATTGATGCCGGAATATGTGAGGGTCTCACCTATGACGACATTCAGCAGAGGTATGTCTTTTTTTGTGAAATTCTTATCTAATTTTCATATTAAAAGGTATATACATAGTAGCGGTCAGAAGTGTTCACCGTAACATTTTTTCTTGCATGTTTTTTTCACTTGAACAATTCTCTTCAAGTATTGGTACAATACCTTCTAGTGTTTTCGAACCAACGAACTTGAGGATGCGAGTCCCACTGCCAATGAATACGCATTCCACACTTTTATTTCATTTATTGGTGTTTAGTAGGAATAATATTGGGCCGGTTGCCACTAATATTCCCTTTCGAAGCACATGCAGCGTATCGCGGATCCCTCGTGGACTCATGACACCCCTCGTGGACTCAAAGTGACACCTTTGCGTCCTCTTTCCCCTCTGTAACTTTTTGGTCGTACTTTTCTTGATGCTCTGGTGTATTGGCATGTGTTTCCAGTTATCGCTCGTACTATTCGGAGATCAAATCTCACAAATCGTTGTTTAGTCAAGCCTTCGCTCCATTTGGATATTCCTCTCAGACCTCTCCTCTCAGAGACGGGCGGTCTGTCAAATGGCTCAGCATACCGTTATAGTTACGAATGGAAGGCTTAGCGCGTCCCAAAAGGAGTGTGATCAACACCGGACGTTCATTTCTTTTCGTCGCACTGGCTCATGCCCACCTTTTCTTCAGTAGATTTCTCTTCTATTGTTATGGAGAGACATTCTTTTTAATATTTCCTATTGTGTAGCAGAGAAATTGTTCAGCGATCACAATTGGCAAT